TTCTAGAAACTAAAGTTAGCATTCAGGTTTGGGGCTAACTTCAAGATTCGATCGAGTACCACAACTTCAGAGACCTATTGTGGTTAACCTAACTTAAGGCTTAAGAAGAGCAGGACCAATATCCATCTAAGTCAACACTGGTTCCCTATGAGGTCTTTCCTGCCAAATTAAAGTGTCACAAGTTTTTACTTTATTTGTGTGCATGTATGTGTGTACGTTTGTATGTGAACATGTGGAGGTCAGAGGACAGTTTAGGAGAGTTGGTTCTCTCCTTCCACCTTTGTGCGTTCTGGGGATTGAGCTCAGATCATCAGCTTGGTGGCAAGGTGCCCTTATCTGCTCAGCCACCTTACTGCCTATAACTGGGTATTCTAAAACTTGAGTTCAGTGCCCATTGAGCTCAGATGGAATATCATCACATTTGTAGAATACACAGCATGTTCTTTCTCAAGAATGGAGCTAGCACTCTTTCTTTGGTTAAGGATGCCCTGGCTCACAGTATTCCTTGTGACATAGTTGGCGATGAGTCTGTGTAATATAAAAATATACACATCCATAAAGCATCCATGTTAAGAATTTAACCACTGTTGCTTGCAATGCCTTTCAGATCTTGTGAGGAATAGTTAACTAAGACTCTTAGGAAATTATCTTTGCCTGAAGGAAGCGTGGAAAATAAGCCCCTCATGGTAATAAAAAGCCAAAAATCCTGCATTAAAAACAAAGTCTTCATTAAGGTTAGAATGTTCTTGCAAAGCTGGGCAGGGGATGGATCTAGCTCTTTGGGGACCACAGAATGCTTTTGCTTCTTCAGAAAGCTCACAAAGGCCCATTACCTCCAGCATACCTACAGTGAGACACAAAGGTTTTCTGATCCACTCCTAAGAGTTGGCAACTGTCCCTCATTATTTAAGAATAGGAAAAAAATTAAACCTTTTGAAAATCCTAGTGTGACAGCAAAATAGAACTTAGAAGATACCCTGCTAGCATATTCAGACACTTAGCAAAGTCATTCCATCTCAGCCTCAGTTGGTTTAGTGAAAATACAGAATAAATTCAGATTTTTTGAATATACATATACATTACTAAGAAGCCAGACCAAACCCCTCAATAGCCAGCCATTTTCCAGCAGAACTCAGAAAATAACAACATCTCCTAACATGATGGATATTTCATGTTTTCTCTCCATATTTGGAAACCCCTATTCCAAGGTTAACAGAACTACTACAAAAAAGAAAGACCTCCAGAGTAGCATCAGAAAACCAAAAGCTGTAGAATCGCCTCAGAACAAAACCAGCAGCTGAACAGTGAAAGGAAAGGGCTGTAACTGCTTCTCCGAGGCGGTTTTCCTCAGCAGTATTTATGGGAGAACTGGATGTAGGTCAGACTCCAGACAGCACCAGCCTCCATCCGGGGCCTATGTTCCCATACATGTAGACCTCTCCGCCCATCAAGTTCTAAGGAGACAGAGCAGGCACAGAACAACACCATTGTCTCTAAGACACCACCATGTTCCATTTGGATTTCCTTTGGCTTTTGTTTTTGTGTATACTGTCACACAAGACCCTCAACAAGGACTCTGCTGGAGGACAGATATCTACAGATGAACATATGGTAAACCAGGGACTACTTGACTGGTCTGCTCAAGGTTCTAAGTCAGGCATATCATGAGCCTAGCCTTTCTACTTACTGGCTAGTAAGTTTCCAGGGTACTACTTCCTTAAGTTACAGATGAGAGAGGCCAGAGTGATGTCTTAGAGCACAGCTGGACATAAGCAACATATGCTTATAACTGAAACAATTCAGGTGAAGGCAAAAGGATTAAAAGTTCAAAACCAACCTGTATTATATAAGTTTGAGGCCGGTCAGGGTCAAATATTAAGACCTTGTCTCAAAACAAACAAACAATAACCAAACAAAGTACTAAATAAAAAGAGCCAGGGTTCTGGTGCTGTCAGGCTAGCATTCCAGTCCTACCTCTGCTACCTACCAGCCAGCTGTCTGGGTTCCTCACCTCGCCTGCAAACTGGGAGTAGAGTTACAGTGATGACAGAGATGATGGACATAAACCATTCACATTTTTTCATTCAGCAAATACCTGTGCCAGGCACAGTATAAGACTTACAGCAGTAATCAAAGGTCATTCTGGTCTCACAGAGCTGAGAACTTAATCAAACTACAAGAAAAAATAAGTAAGCCGATAAATGCTTATAAAACATGCTAAAAAAATAAAAACAAAAACCATTAAGATTAGCACAAATGATTGAAAACAATCACAGGTAGGGCCAGATGTTAAGAGTGGCCTCTGAGGAGAAATTTCTGTTGAGCCCTAAGGGGTCCATAGGAGCTATCTATGTGAAGAATGAAAGAACAAACATTTCTGTCATAAAGAACTCAAGATGTTCAAGGGTCACAGCATGAGGAAGGCACAGGAACATGGAAGACAAATGTGATTGCAGTATATCCTCTCATAGGGTTTTGGAGAACAACCATTACAAGCTGCCACCACTGAGGATTACCACATCTATTTTTAAAATAACAAAGATCAGCCTAGAGTAAGGTGCTGTGTCTTGTCCAAGGTCAAAGCTACTCAGAAGAGGACCTAAGACTGGAACCCTTCAGTAGTCTACTTCCAGACACAGCATAAGCCCACAGCCTTGACTTGTTTCACTAATGACGGCTTTCTGCGCTCTGAGGAGTCCCCAAAGCACCTTGAAAACACAAGTAATGACACTGTATCAGTTTCCAGGCATCTGGTGAATCAAGCTCGAAAGCCCTACCGCTGGAATCTTACCACTCAAGAGCAAAAGATGCTCAGACCTAACTCAAAGGCTCCAAAGTAGAAAGGGCTTCTCTTCTTGCAGCCATGAACAAGAGAGAAAAGGATGCCCCAGAAAATTCCATGGCCTGTTCCAGGAGACAGAGCCACTGATGCAAATGAGCCCTCACCTCAAGTGAAAAGTACAGGAAAAGCTAATTACTTTATTTGTACAAAAGAACCAATCCCTTTAAACAGTGGTTCTCGGTCAGGCTGGTACACCCACCCCAGCAAAAGGCATCTGGGAATTTATGGAGGCAGTTTGAGGTGAACTGCAGGATGCCCTGGGGGGCATTCAATGGGCTCAAAGTCTTGCAAAAGGACAGAATGATCCTATATACTAAAAACAAACAAATAAATAAATGTATTACCTATAATGTTAACAAGAGCCTGCCACACACACTTTCGAGACACCGAAAAGATCAATATCTCCAGCTTTTCTTGTATTCCTATTGTTGTGCTCCCTACTCTCAGGCCTGAATGGGGGTGTGATGGGGGAGAAATCTAAGGCTTCACAGCTAAAGAGTGTGAAAATTTGGAATTCAGTTGTACGCGCCTAACTTTATCAGGGAACCTGGCGATGGAACAAGGATAAAGAAGTTTCTAGTAAGAGACAGACTTAAGAAATCTTGCCCAAAAGGTAAGATTTTCTCACTTCTCCATACAAGACTTTATAAAGTTAGTTGTTTGCCACACTCAAAAATCACTCTGTGACTTCAGAGAACCTATTTACACTATTTTCAGTTTTAAAAGCGTAATCACAATAGTCTCACAAATACAGTGGACTCCTTCTGGACTCAAACTAAATAGGAAGATTATTAATTCCAAGATGCCTAACACAAACCAAATGCCTAAAGGGTACCGAAGGCAGACATGCCTTGTATTTGATTTCCAACAGTTTAATTACAGTCAGAGAGACTCTAAACTCGTCACTATACCCCTACCAAAGTTATATCAAAAATTTAAGATTATGGACTTGACCAAAAGGATGAAAAAAAGGAGATAACCCCCTAAAACCTACTGTTTTGAAATAGCTACAAGAGTAATCCCACAGGTAAATCTTTCATAATGTACCCTAAAGAGAGGAGAATGCTTTCTCCTACACAGTATCTACAATTTCCCAACTCACCCAAAGGAGTCTGAATGTTACTTCTTCACTTCAACTGCTAATTAGCAAACAGCAGTCTCACACCCCTTGGACCAATTTTCCAGAAGCCTGCCTTGCCTTCTCAGGACAGCCAAGCAGACAGACCTGTTTTCCTCTAGAAGCGACTGCCAGGCCTTTTCTGCCTTACAAGCCAGAGCCTGGGAAATCCCCCTCCAGCCTTCTCCTGGCTTGTCACCAGAGGAGCACAGAATGAATTCATCCAGATTCTTTCAATCTTCCTCCTCCCCAGTCATGTGCCAACTGCAGGGCAATAATACTCCACCTTGCTGGTGCTTTGTTTAAAAAAAAAAAAAAAAAAAAAAAAAAAAGATGCAGATTCACGAGAAGATCAGGCACTTATCATGGAGCAGAAGAAAAAAGATGGAGGGATGTGAGAGTCACTGAGCCAAGTCTACTGCATGCAGCATGGGAGACCAGAACCCTGGTCCTGTAAATCCAAAGAGGGAAGGCTTTCCATATAGCAGACCACACCTGTCTAAGCCAGCCTCCTGCTCCATTTTAAACAATTTATACAGCTACCCAGCCGGCAGGGAAAACTAGCCACCTCCCTTTCCTAGCAAGGGTAAGAACCCTAATCTAAGAACCACTTGCCCCTTAGTTTTATTTCTTTTTTCACTCTTTGTTTAGGAGACACTACCTCCCTAACCAGACAGGTAGACACCATGCTGCTGTGGCAGAAATGAAGAGTCCAAACTGTAAGCCAGACAAGAAGACCTCTTCTCTGAGGATCACGATGCTAATAAATGGGACTTCAATGGGCAGGTTTCACTCTGCCATCCACAAGTGAACACATGCCTGTAGTCCTAAAACGCCCGGCCCCGCAGCCTGGTAGACAGCTTTTTCCCTAGGCAGTAGTTAAACCACTTGATCTTATTCACCCTCTGGCACAGGAGGGACCAAGGGAAAGGCAGGAGTTAGCTTCATACCCACAGCTTAGCACACGAAGAGGTTTGGGGCGCCCCGGCGCGCCCTCCCTTACACTCCACCCTTTAAGGCCTCTGTCACCCGCGGACTCACCACTGTGCGAGCTGAACCACCTGGGTGCGATGTGCAGAGGTAGAGCATCCGCCAGCGAGGCTCGGGAGCCCAGGTACAGCATCCCGTCTCTATGGTGACCGCCGCCTGTCTCCTGGTAACCATTGCCGTGAGCATAGGTGGAGTCCGACGTGGACCCCCCGCCGCCCGGCGCCCTCTCCGAGTCGCCGGTCCCGCGGGAGGCGGGGGTGTAGAGGCCAAAGGGCACCCCTCCGGCCGTGCTGGGGTCCATGCCCATGCCCGCCACCGAGCTGACCGAGCGGCTGCGCAGCCCCATAGCTCCGCCGCCCGTCCGGTAGTGCCCAAAGTGGGGCGCTCCTCCCGGCGGGGGCACGGCGCTGTCATCGGTAGAGACCCCCGGGAAGGGGCCCCGAGAGCGGGCCGCCGTGCTCTGCTTGCCCCCCATGTTCGCCCGGGGCCCCGGTGGGGCGGGAACCTGGAGGCCTGAACCCTCCTCCCCCACTACTCAGAAGCGGGTGGAGGGCTGGGCGAACATAAAGGGGGGGGGAGGTTTACAAAAGGAGCCTCGAGGGGAGAAAATGAAAAAAAAAAAAAAGATAGAGGTGGGGGGGAACCCTCAGAAAATCCGCGGGGCGGAAAAAAGCGAGCGAGCGGGGACCCCAAACTAAGAATTTCAAACAGTCCAAGACGAATGCATGTTCTCCTTAAGGTCCGAAGACGCGCGGTCCGGAGCGGGCGCCGCGCGCCACAGGCCGCCCCCGGGCTCGAGAGCCTGAGGAGCCGCAGCGAAGGGAGGGAGGCGCCGGAGG